CGCGCTCTGGTGAGCCTTCAAACGACTAGCCGCTCCGCCAAGCGCGCGCCGCACGAGATGAATGAATTAAAATAATCTCGCGCGCATAGCGAACGTTCCTTTTACCCGAGGGAGCGCTTCAGAACAAAAAAGCAAATTGTGGTAGCAAATGGTGAAGCGGTGAGCAATATCGAACCTGAAAATGACTGCTTTCGTGCGGGAAGTCGCATCAGTGCTCGTAGAGTAAACTATCGACTCGATCCGAGGCAAACTACAGTCGTCGGGTCTTCTACGGAACGCGTGCTCACGTTTGACACCAACATCGCGGCTCGGAAACGAAAATTCAGCCTCGGAGGTCCGAACACATGTTCGGAAAGTACAATTGGCCGCCATGACCATGCCCACGGCAAGAGCGTCGTAGCATCGCGAAACCTTTTATTACACACGTTCAAAGTGGTGTCCGTAGAGTCTAGAAAGACCAAGGAACACATCGGTGCTAGCGGTGACGAGATACGACGAGTATTAATGAAGCGAGATCGAAGAAAGGATCGGTGCCTAAAGTGAGGAATGCGAATGGCTGGCTTCGATCCGAAAACTTTCAAACGTCGTTTATTTCGCGAAACTTGAGATGAGCTGACACGGTTTCACTGCACACACACTTTCATATGATGTTGTTTTCACGACCACAATCGATGAATGCACTCCAGCGGTCTTGAATATTCACGGGTGAACGATTGAACTTGGTCGGGGTTTTTAATCTCCAAGCAGATTCCCAAAAACCTGTTTTCGCGAGTATAACGAGTTCTAGACGAGCTGGAGCGATGAAAATTTAACAGTGCGTCTAAATTCAGAGCGCGATCATTCGCTGCGAATTAGAACCTTCTAACTATCGTAGTTTTCTTTATACGAGCATATGCCAAATCACAACACCACAGAATGAAGCCTTACACGTAAACTTTTTATTCGTAACTTTCTTATTAGATTAGCTACATCGATGAGACGCGCCTAGAATGTTCCTCGGAACATCCCACTCGCCTGGTTAAAATAAATGACCCAGCTAGCACTTGTGGATTGATATACTTGAATACAAAGTACAGAGATACAAAAAAAGAAGAGAAAACGCAAGTTCAAAGGCTGTATAGATAATACAACGCCGCTGACAGCGTCTTGCAATAAGCGCAACAGAGAACGTTAAAAGAATGCATGTGCTCGCTTTTGGGCGAGCACACACATAAAAAAACACATTTCTTTTTTTTTTTTCACGATTACCACAGGAAAAAGTCAAATTTCTGAATAATACTGATAAGGTACTTTGTTTCCGCAGGTGTGCACAGCAGGGGCCTCTTTGTCCGTTTAACCTCAGATTGTTATATTATATTAAAAACGCAACACCAGGTAATCCGTAAAATGGGAGAGCGGAACAGGGGAAAATTGTAATGTAATAGCTCACAACAAAGTTGGGAGGAGTGGCAGTAGTGGGCAAGAGGAAAATTAAAACACCATGCAAAGAGTTGCACATGAAACAAACGCTCGATCGACTACAAAACATTGTCAGATATAAATCTGCGATGAGGTAGGCTGTTTCATTCTGTTATGGTTCTGGGAAAAGAGTATTTAAATGCATTTGTAAGCAGATCAAGACCCTATGGCGTCGGGAAGTATTTAAATTCTTTTTTTATATTTGGTTTCTATTCATTTACACTGCAGGCCATTTCCAATCCCCAAGCAGGGTGCGACGAGAAGGAACAAAAAAAAATAACAGTAAACCGACAAATCTGGTACACTGGAGATCACAAAAAGAAAGAAGAAAAAACACAAGTTCAAAGGCTATGTATAGATATAATAGAACGCCGCTCATAGCGTCTTGCAATAAGCTCAAACATAAGAAAGAAGAATTTATGTCCTCGCTCTTTTTTTTTTTCACGATTACCACGGGAAAAAATCAAATCTCTGAACAAACTGATAAGGTACTTACTTCGTTTCCGCAGGTGTGCACAGCAGGGGCTTCGTCCTCACCAGCAAAATACAAAACAACAGATTTCTCCGTTTTAACCTCACGTTTTATTAGGCTTGACGTCAAACTTTATTAGGCCGACAATGCAAGTTTCCGGACGAGCTGTCTCGATGAAAACACACTTGTTCCTATTCAGTGAATTCGCACGAGCTAACACGATTTCATAAAAACACTTTTTGCTTGGAGCAAGTTCTCAGTTGCCATTCAAGCGGTCTTGATTAAGCACAGGTCATCCGCAGCTGAAGGAGGTCACTTGAAACGGAGGGCCAGCCGTGCAACTCGCTCTTGCGCTGCACAAAAAGACAATCTTTAGCGCCCTACATTAAAGATGCACCGAACGTTCTTACGCCATACACATATCTTTTTTTCTTTTCTTCCGTGCGTCAGAGAGTGATGAAACGTTTGAGTTCGTAGAGGCCGGCTTCCTAGCTCCGCGCCGCCGCCGATTCCGTGTTTGATAAAAAAAAAAACTGCTCCGACTTTACTCAACAAGATTAACAATTTAATCAAACGTTTCGTCTCCCATCCGGGAAACATCGTCAGTGAAACCTACAAGCAGGAATGAGGGGAAAAAAACTCGATTCCGTGTTTCGCGTGAAAAGAACAAAAGAATTCGTGCAAGAAGTCGGCTCCAACGGTCGCCCATGCACGCTGTGCGGGTTCAGACATTGCCTTCTTTGCTTTAGCTCACTTCTCTTCACCAACTTTCTTTCGCGGCACATTTTTCACGTACCGGGGTCCCCCTCGAAAGAAAGCCCACCAGGAAAACCTAAGTAATCAAAACTTGGCCAAGCAGTCATTGAGTTAGAGAGGGATTTTTATAGCAGCGTATGATTTAAACAAGAGCAGGAATGTCGACGCGTTTCAGTTTAGAAATATCTGCAGCGACGTGGGGACGGCAACACACGACGTCGCACGAAGCTCAAAAAGTAACTCCCGCCGCGCAAAAACGTGGTTTTGTTTCACAGCATGACGGCATGTTTGGCATCCGATACACTAGAGACGAGATTTTTGAGACGACGAGTACACGAAACGCGAGACGTCGGGAAAAATCATGCAAGACCAAATAGACGATTGATACAGGGTACTTTGTGTCGGGTGGCGTCTTGTGCGACCTAGCTTACACAATTACGGTTCTCAGTTTAGTTTCGTTATTGAAAGGCGACCAAAATTGCTTCTTTGGCGCAGATTAGCCATATTTCGGTGAAATGTAGCAGGATGTAGCAAGGTTAGCCCCTTGGTGCAGTTTGGCGCAATTATCACATCACTGGTATTCCATCATTTCGCGATGGAATACGCGCTTCAAAATACACTTTATATCTTTGCCGAGCATGGACCTATCAAAAAAAGAACTTGCATCAAACACGCATAGGTAATTCTTGCTCGCGCTCTGGTAAAGAGCCTTCAAAAAAACGACCAGCCGCTCCGCCTATGTGCGCCTATATCAATATAGTAGATCCCATTAAAAGCCTTCTTTGCCGACACTCGAAAAAGCGTGCAGAATCTCTCCGAGAACAACATTTCCATCTACCAACCGCCGAGCACAACATAATCTCCTCGCAAAACGCACGCGCTCACACAAACAACGACTTTGGGCAAAGAACAAGGAAATGAGCAAATACCTTCTCGAGTTACGGTAATCCGACCTTCTTCCGTTCTCGGCTCCTTCTGAAAGTGAGCCCGGGCCAGGAGTGCGCAGGAGTAGCCTTCCCAAGCGAAGCGTACCAGACACGTGACTTGTGACGTAGCCCCACTATCTCACGTAAAGATTATTTTCCGCCTAAAACGCTCGATGGATGGCGCTAGCTGTCCCCGGACGCGCGCTCGCCCATACGGGTGATGTTCGACTTTTTTTTTTTTTTCTCGTTTCATTTGGCGCCGTTTGGCGAGTTGTGAGTATCAAAGTAAGCACATCAAACATATTTCAAAAACCATATTGTTGTCTTTATTGGCACTTAAAGTACAACAAAAAATATGTACACTGTTTTAGGGCGTGTTAAAGTCCTTCAGAACGAACTCAGGCCCTAAAGATTCGGCGAACGAGAACAGAGATCGCTTGCTTTTTCGACAATTCTTCAAAAGAGTGCGTTCTAAAAACCTTTCTGACGCGCCCCCCCCCCCCTCCCCACACACACACACACACAAAAAAGGTGAATTACACGAGTATGAATTAACGAACAAGTTTCAAACGAAAATAGGTGAAAAACAAACAACTGTCAAACTGAACGCACGGCCCGAAAATCAATTTCAGTCAGAGGTAAAAAAAAGAAAAGATTATGCATCTTAACAAATACGATAATTGAACTTCAGCGGCTAACATGACATCAAAAAGAATCGTGACACGGGTAGTCGTCCTGAGGCGGCTTCCTTTTAGCTCGCGAAGATGACCGGCCCCAAAATGAACCACGCAAATTCCTTTCTGCAAATTGTTTCATCAGAGTCTTGAATGAATCCTGATGTGCTTCGAGATCCACTGATCACGCCCAGAGACTTAACCACGCATATCCATACGATACGAGGAGTCATCATTCGTTAATAAGCGCTGGCGGAGAGACGAAACTTACCGATCGGAACTTACCGCTGGGAAACGAAAGAACAAAACTTAAGAAGCTAAACCGGAATTGCCACTCTACTCTGCGGCACAGTATCTACACAAACCTTTTGAAAGCTCAATTCCATTTCTCGAAGCATTGTTCGACCCTAGTTTTAACAGGCAACCAAAACAGGTGCGCGCGCCGCACGAAAACCGTTGGGCCGTTGGCAGGGACGAGGAGCAGACGAGCAGACCAGCAGACGCCAAACGCGCCGCGCGCTCTCGCCGGAAACCGGAAACGGCGGCAGATGTCGGCGCGACCTCAGCGCCTTCGCAGCCTTTCGGTGCGTTGCGGCGGATGCGTGAACCCTTCATGTAAAGATCGAGGGCGGAACCGCCACCAGGGGAGAAATTAGACGCTGTCGGCCTCTAGCGACACTCGTTTGAACCGCCAAGCTGCGTTCTCCTGCCCGGGCCCAGACAGAACACGCACAGCAACAGCCAGGCGCCGTTGAGGCGAGGGTGACTCATCCTTGCTCCGACAAAAACATCACGTGACCTGGAGTGAGAAAACACACAGAACCCAAACCGAAACCCTGGATCATGATGATGATACCTTCTCCAAACCCCTAACGGTCAAAACCCGCGCAAAAATGTCGACGCACGTCGTAACGGTACCCAGGGTGCTATTACGTTCTGTGTCGACCTTTTTCAACTAGAGCCTAGAATTACAACTCTTTAATTAAAACCGACCGAATCTAAAAACAAAAATATCTATTGTACCCTTTGTTGAAATGACAACACTTTTCTTTTCTATTCCAGAAATCCTCTCTCTGCCGCTAGTCCCTACCTCAGTCGCCCAACTTCACAAACGGCCGCCCAAATCCACGTCTGTGTGTGCGCTTCGTTGCGAGTCAAGAGAAGAGGGTGCGCGGGCGAGCTGGTGAATGTTAACAACGTTGAAATAGCCCGAGACTGGGGTAGAGAAGAAGCTTGAAATAGTAGAAGGGACAGAAAATGTCTATTTTCTGTCCCTTCTACGATTTGATGCTTCTACCCCAGTCTCGGGTGATTTCAAAACGGCCGTGCCCCGTCTCAACGTGGACGCTTCCGTGAACGTGTGTGTGTGTGTGCACTTTCCTGGTGAACTTTGGATTACTCTGGACTTTGGATAACATCTGGACCGCTAGACACCATGCAAGGAAAGGTATTTGAGAATGCTTCTATCTCTCTCTCTCGTGGTTTGAATAGGAGTCCGGACTATAAAGCGCTCGGCCGCGCTTCGAAATCTCTTCGCGTAACAAATATTGATTAAAAAAAAAAGTATTCGCTTCTAAAATTTCTCTTATTCCCAGCGTCATGTACACGCATTTCTTGCGTGGAACAACGAATGAATAACTGCTATGTGCGTTTAATTCGATCTAGAAATCCCGTCGCGCCCGTTTGTTTACTATCTGCCTTCCAGGTTAGACAACGTTCCCTCAAAAAATCCTAAAAAATCACCAATTCGTGCTAGAAGTGCGTGCCTCGGACAAGAAGTAGCGAACATTAAGAGCCTTAGTTTGCGATTAAATAAGCTTCTGCACGCGCCTAATTAATACTCAAAGTCGCGCTTTCCCACACGGCCAATGCATGAATTTCGCTCTAAACGTGCCTCCCCTGCTGCTTCAAAAAATCACAAAAAATCACCAATTCGTGCTACAAGTCCCTGCTTCGGGCGAGAGTTAGCGAACAATTAGCGCCTTATTTTACGATTAAATAAGCTTCTGCACGCGCCTAATTAATACTCAAAGTCGCGCTTTCCCACACGGCCAATGCATGAATTTCGCTCTAAACGTGCCTCCCCTGCTGCTTCAAAAAATCACAAAAAATCACCAATTCGTGCTACAAGTCCCTGCTTCGGGCGAGAGTTAGCGAACAATTAGCGCCTTATTTTACGATTAAATAAGCTTCTGTACGCGCCTAATTAATACTCAAAGTCGCGCTTTCCCACACGGCCAATGCATGAATTTCGCTCTAAACGTGCCTCCCCTGCTCCTTCAAAAAATCACAAAAAATCACCAATTCGTGCTACAAGTCCCTGCTTCGGGCGAGAGTTAGCGAACAATTAGCGCCTTATTTTACGATTAAATAAGCTTCTGCACGCGCCTAATTAATACTCAAAGTCGCGCTTTCCCACACGGCCAATGCATGAATTTCGCTCTAAACGTGCCTCCCCTGCTGCTTCAAAAAATCACAAAAAATCACCAATTCGTGCTACAAGTCCCTGCTTCGGGCGAGAGTTAGCGAACAATTAGCGCCTTATTTTACGATTAAATAAGCTTCTGCACGCGCCTAATTAATACGCAAAGTCGCGCTTTCCCACACGGCCAATGCATGAATTTCGCTCTAAACGTGCCTCCCCTGCTGCTTCAAAAAATCACAAAAAATCACCAATTCGTGCTACAAGTCCCTGCTTCGGGCGAGAGTTAGCGAACAATTAGCGCCTTATTTTACGATTAAATAAGCTTCTGCACGCGCCTAATTAATACTCAAAGTCGCGCTTTCCCACACGGCCAATGCATGAATTTCGCTCTAAACGTGCCTCCCCTGCTGCTTCAAAAAATCACCAATTCGTGCTACAAGTCCCTGCTTCGGGCGAGAGTTAGCGAACAATTAGCGCCTTATTTTACGATTAAATAAGCTTCTGTACGCGCCTAAATAATACTCAAAGTCGCGCTTTCCCACACGGCCAATGCATGAATTTCGCTCTAAACGTGCCTCCCCTGCTGCTTCAAAAAATCACAAAAAATCACCAATTCGTGCTACAAGTCCCTGCTTCGGGCGAGAGTTAGCGAACAATTAGCGCCTTATTTTACGATTAAATAAGCTTCTGCACGCGCCTAATTAATACTCAAAGTCGCGCTTTCCCACACGGCCAATGCATGAATTTCGCTCTAAACGTGCCTCCCCTGCTCCTTCAAAAAATCACAAAAAATCACCAATTCGTGCTACAAGTCCCTGCTTCGGGCGAGAGTTAGCGAACAATTAGCGCCTTATTTTACGATTAAATAAGCTTCTGCACGCGCCTAATTAATACTCAAAGTCGCGCTTTCCCACACGGCCAATGCATGAATTTCGCTCTAAACGTGCCTCCCCTGCTGCTTCAAAAAATCACAAAAAATCACCAATTCGTGCTACAAGTCCCTGCTTCGGGCGAGAGTTAGCGAACAATTAGCGCCTTATTTTACGATTAAATAAGCTTCTGCACGCGCCTAATTAATACTCAAAGTCGCGCTTTCCCACACGGCCAATGCATGAATTTCGCTCTAAACGTGCCTCCCCTGCTGCTTCAAAAAATCACAAAAAATCACCAATTCGTGCTACAAGTCCCTGCTTCGGGCGAGAGTTAGCGAACAATTAGCGCCTTATTTTACGATTAAATAAGCTTCTGCACGCGCCTAATTAATACTCAAAGTCGCGCTTTCCCACACGGCCAATGCATGAATTTCGCTCTAAACGTGCCTCCCCTGCTGCTTCAAAAAATCACAAAAAATCACCAATTCGTGCTACAAGTCCCTGCTTCGGGCGAGAGTTAGCGAACAATTAGCGCCTTATTTTACGATTAAATAAGCTTCTGTACGCGCCTAATTAATACTCAAAGTCGCGCTTTCCCACACGGCCAATGCATGAATTTCGCTCTAAACGTGCCTCCCCTGCTCCTTCAAAAAATCACAAAAAATCACCAATTCGTGCTACAAGTCCCTGCTTCGGGCGAGAGTTAGCGAACAATTAGCGCCTTATTTTACGATTAAATAAGCTTCTGCACGCGCCTAATTAATACTCAAAGTCGCGCTTTCCCACACGGCCAATGCATGAATTTCGCTCTAAACGTGCCTCCCCTGCTGCTTCAAAAAATCACAAAAAATCACCAATTCGTGCTACAAGTCCCTGCTTCGGGCGAGAGTTAGCGAACAATTAGCGCCTTATTTTACGATTAAATAAGCTTCTGCACGCGCCTAATTAATACGCAAAGTCGCGCTTTCCCACACGGCCAATGCATGAATTTCGCTCTAAACGTGCCTCCCCTGCTGCTTCAAAAAATCACAAAAAATCACCAATTCGTGCTACAAGTCCCTGCTTCGGGCGAGAGTTAGCGAACAATTAGCGCCTTATTTTACGATTAAATAAGCTTCTGCACGCGCCTAATTAATACTCAAAGTCGCGCTTTCCCACACGGCCAATGCATGAATTTCGCTCTAAACGTGCCTCCCCTGCTGCTTCAAAAAATCACCAATTCGTGCTACAAGTCCCTGCTTCGGGCGAGAGTTAGCGAACAATTAGCGCCTTATTTTACGATTAAATAAGCTTCTGTACGCGCCTAATTAATACTCAAAGTCGCGCTTTCCCACACGGCCAATGCATGAATTTCGCTCTAAACGTGCCTCCCCTGCTGCTTCAAAAAATCACAAAAAATCACCAATTCGTGCTACAAGTCCCTGCTTCGGGCGAGAGTTAGCGAACAATTAGCGCCTTATTTTACGATTAAATAAGCTTCTGCACGCGCCTAATTAATACTCAAAGTCGCGCTTTCCCACACGGCCAATGCATGAATTTCGCTCTAAACGTGCCTCCCCTGCTCCTTCAAAAAATCACAAAAAATCACCAATTCGTGCTACAAGTCCCTGCTTCGGGCGAGAGTTAGCGAACAATTAGCGCCTTATTTTACGATTAAATAAGCTTCTGCACGCGCCTAATTAATACACAAAGTCGCGCTTTCCCACACGGCCAATGCATGAATTTCGCTCTAAACGTGCCTCCCCTGCTGCTTCAAAAAATCACAAAAAATCACCAATTCGTGCTACAAGTCCCTGCTTCGGGCGAGAGTTAGCGAACAATTAGCGCCTTATTTTACGATTAAATAAGCTTCTGCACGCGCCTAATTAATACTCAAAGTCGCGCTTTCCCACACGGCCAATGCATGAATTTCACTCTAAACGTGCCTCCCCTGCTGCTTCAAAAAATCACAAAAAATCACCAATTCGTGCTACAAGTCCCTGCTTCGGGCGAGAGTTAGCGAACAATTAGCGCCTTATTTTACGATTAAATAAGCTTCTGCACGCGCCTAATTAATACTCAAAGTCGCGCTTTCCCACACGGCCAATGCATGAATTTCGCTCTAAACGTGCCTCCCCTGCTGCTTCAAAAAATCACAAAAAATCACCAATTCGTGCTACAAGTCCCTGCTTCGGGCGAGAGTTAGCGAACAATTAGCGCCTTATTTTACGATTAAATAAGCTTCTGTACGCGCCTAATTAATACTCAAAGTCGCGCTTTCCCACACGGAAAATGCATGAATTTCGCTCTAAACGTGCCTCCCCTGCTCCTTCAAAAAATCACAAAAAATCACCAATTCGTGCTACAAGTCCCTGCTTCGGGCGAGAGTTAGCGAACAATTAGCGCCTTATTTTACGATTAAATAAGCTTCTGCACGCGCCTAATTAATACTCAAAGTCGCGCTTTCCCACACGGCCAATGCATGAATTTCGCTCTAAACGTGCCTCCCCTGCTGCTTCAAAAAATCACAAAAAATCACCAATTCGTGCTACAAGTCCCTGCTTCGGGCGAGAGTTAGCGAACAATTAGCGCCTTATTTTACGATTAAATAAGCTTCTGCACGCGCCTAATTAATACGCAAAGTCGCGCTTTCCCACACGGCCAATGCATGAATTTCGCTCTAAACGTGCCTCCCCTGCTGCTTCAAAAAATCACAAAAAATCACCAATTCGTGCTACAAGTCCCTGCTTCGGGCGAGAGTTAGCGAACAATTAGCGCCTTATTTTACGATTAAATAAGCTTCTGCACGCGCCTAATTAATACTCAAAGTCGCGCTTTCCCACACGGCCAATGCATGAATTTCGCTCTAAACGTGCCTCCCCTGCTGCTTCAAAAAATCACCAATTCGTGCTACAAGTCCCTGCTTCGGGCGAGAGTTAGCGAACAATTAGCGCCTTATTTTACGATTAAATAAGCTTCTGTACGCGCCTAATTAATACTCAAAGTCGCGCTTTCCCACACGGCCAATGCATGAATTTCGCTCTAAACGTGCCTCCCCTGCTGCTTCAAAAAATCACAAAAAATCACCAATTCGTGCTACAAGTCCCTGCTTCGGGCGAGAGTTAGCGAACAATTAGCGCCTTATTTTACGATTAAATAAGCTTCTGCACG